ATATATATATATATATATATAAAGTGTGACTTGATTTTCGTAGAACAGTGCTCAATACATAGAAGTAGAGCGAAGTATATATTGTGGGAGGAAAAAGACAAGTAAACTACAAGTTCATCCCTACAAGCCTGTTTCGTGGTCGCCCACTCATCAGGGGATTTAATGAGAATAAACTTTACCATTGCTTATATACAATATAATTTGCATGATCTAACTAGTCTAATTTATGCAGCGCGAAATTGACAGTTTAGTTGTTGCGTAGGAGGGCTTTGCTTCTGTGGCGGCATGAAGACACGAGTTCATTACGTTTGTTTAGTGTTGATAGTTCGGGCCGGCAGATGATTAGGAATTTTTCTTTGAGGCAGAGGTTACATCTTTTAGTTGAGCTGTTATACGGTGAGTGCGATGAGAGAATGCGCCAGGAAATAAAGTGATCGATGTTGTTGTCTTTGAGGGTCCAGATGTGCTTGCTGAGTTCGGTAGAGTTTCTGTGTTTAGCGTGGCGGAATGATGCGGTGTGGTTTCTGTATCTTGTTTTGAAGTCATTCTCTGTGAGTCCGATGTACGTTTCTGTCGTGTTGTTGTCTTTGCGTGTAACGGAGGCTTGGTAGATTACTGATGGTTGCAGGCAGTTTCCGTCGAGCGGGCATGTGTTCTTTTGTCTGCAGCTGCATGTCTTGTTCACCGCGAGAGCATATGTTCACCGCGAGAGCAACCATCCGCCAACAACAACAAAAAACATTCCCGCCGGTATCAACAAACGACTCTCCCCCCATCCCTTTAAATTTGTCGTTTTGTCAAGGTTTGGTTTCTTCGTTTGTCCCCTTTGCTATTATTCTTGTTTTTTCGTGTTTTTAGATCTAAAACGGTAACAGGAGGAAAATTTAAATATTCCATTACAAGATCATGATATTCGCAAAAAATTTGCTGGCGAACTTTATTTTATTAATAACTTTGCACTAAGTTTCCAGTATCAACTACGATGTTTCATCGGTGGCTAACACAATTAAGGATTCAACGGAAAGATCATAGGTCAAACAGACACCTTTTCAGCTGATGACAACGACATCTTTCTCTTTATCACAAGTACCCCTACGAAATACATAAGCGTGTTTTTGTTAAACTCAGAACAGAATGTCAACGCGTATGATATAAATTATTATTACAGAAACAAAGGGTATATTATTCTGTTATTCAAATACTTAAGCAATATGTATAACTCATAGATTAATCAAAGTAAACTGTAAATAAGTCGTGGATACATTGCGCTTGAATGAGTTTTGAAGATAATCAAAATCCAATGGGTGACTCCGGGATTCAGTTAAAACTTCTTGGTATTACTTTGAACTGTTGGGGTGATGTTGGGTGAATGGTCAGAGTTCAAATTTTAGCTATCGAGTACGCTCGATAGCTAAAAATACGGCCCCTTGTATTTTCCAAAAATTATGGTGGAAAATATGGGTAATATTTGTACCTCCAGTACGCTCTGTTCTGTTTTAATGCACAAAGGAAGCCGATAGAGTACGAAAGAAGTATAGGGAGAAACACGAGATGTAGTCGAGTCTTTCTGTCCTTTTCTTGAGTGCTTTAACCGCTTCCTAAGTGTTTAACAACAGAACAGAGCATAACGAAGAATCCGTAAAATTCCCAACGCATTACTTTCAGTTTTCAAAACAAGCTTTATTTCCAGTGCAAGCAACAGTGTCGTCAACATGCTATATATTCTCATAAAGCAGGCTACAATAAGCCAATCAAACTCTTAATTAAAATGGTTGAAGTAATCTGATTGGTTAAACAAGACTAAAGCTGTCAAAAATGTCAAACCATCAAAGTTCATAGACTCTTGACTCTGATTATCACACGACACTTTCACATGTTTGTTTCTTCGTTTGTCCCTTTGCTATTACTCTAGATATTCTTTTCTCATGTCTCGTGTTTTTAATTCTATAACGTCACATTATTTGCCCGCAGTTGTAAGGAAATTTGATATATTACCATTACAAGATCATGAAATTCACAAACAATATACTGGAGAACTTTTTTTATTGATTGCTTTGCACTAAGTTTCCAGCATTAACTACTACTAGCGACAGCTTTGAATGAAAGTTTACTTGGTAATATGACGTAATAACCGCCTGTTTGTTTATTCAACAACATATTTCTTAATAGTGAAAGTAAGGAATGTCCCACCAAAGACATTGCTGCCATTTCATGAGATCCTTAAGCTTTTTGACACTTATCTTCTATTTCAAGATCTTTATAAGAAAATGTTTGTTTTCCAACTGTTACTAGCTCACTGTAAGAGCCAGTGGTCTTTTTTGCAATTGCTTGATATATAGGTGGCTAAAACAATTCAGAATTCAACGGAAAGATCATAGGTCAAACAGGCACCTTTTGCACCGATGGCAGCGATGTATTTCTGTTTATAACAAGTACATATACCAAATATATAGTATGTTTTTTGTTAAATTCAGAACAGACTGCCAAAGCGTATGATATAAGTTATTATTACAGAGAGATAGGGAATATTATTCCGTTATTCAAATACTTAAGCAACATGTATACCTCATACATTAAAAGAACCTTTTTTTTTACAAAACTAACAATAATTTTTTAAAAAACTGTCGTTAAATGAAATACTTGTGAATACTTCCTACTTAATTCTGGTCCATAATTTACAATTTCACACGTAAATTTACAAAGTTGCCGTAGCAACTCGTTGGGTTTTCCGGTTGTCATACCAATTTGCAAATGATTTCCTTCCCCAAAGGGCCCGGGAGGGATCTCAACTTTGACAAAATCGTGCGTGTCATTAACCCCTCATGTTTAGTCTTCATCATTTGACAACACATTCTCAATGTTAAGATTAGTGCTACGTTCGAAAAGCCATACTGATTCCTGACTGTTACAGTTTAACAGGCGTCTTTACTGTTTGATCTCACAATCTTCACTGATCTTACTGAACATCGGTAAAAGAAGGTCAGTGAAGATTCGTATTAAAGGATTGATTTGAAAGAACAGGCAAAACTCAAACCTAGGCTTCCAGAAGATATGATCATCTGGAATTATTTCTCATCGTTTTAGGTTGTACAGTGTGATAATTGGTCTGTGAGATATTGTGACCTTTTCCTTAAGACCCTGGTGAAAAAGTATAACCAGTGCGACTTCTGAAAAAAAAATTGTCTTCATTATCTCAAGTTTTAGAACCCTATTTGTACTTTTCAACTATAAAAAAAGTACCGAGTTCAGTTAATGTAATAGATCGAAAGAAATGATGGATAAAAGTAAACCAAATGAAAAACATGATGTGTGACTTTTGGGTTTCACAGAAAGTTAAAAAATTAAACAGTTACACTTTATTTGGCGCTTTAACTGAGTGCTATCAGTCGATTAGAATGCTAATCAATGAAAGCTCCATTCTAAGTGCCATTATCATATTAGATAAACGTTTTATTTACTCCAGGAACGTAATAGTCACTTGACCATGACCAGCGTTGATGTAACAACATTCATTGTCCTGGTTATTTCCATCCTCGTAAGAGCCTCCCCCACCCCCACAGGTATCACGACCACCATTTCCACTGCTTCCCCCTGAGTATCCTCCTCCTCCTCCTCCTCCTCCTTTTCTTCCATAAGCTCCACCACCTCCACCAAACCCACCATCGACATAGTAATACCTGGCTCTTCCACCCACCCCTCCCTGAATAAATGCCTTACCACCTTCTCCACCATATCCTTTGGTTCTATTAAATTTTGTTCCACTTCTTCCACTGGAGTAAAATCCGCCACCACCACCACCTGAAATACAATGAATATATTTTACGATTTTCGTAAACAGAAGCGGAACTATATTTGCATGGGATGCTAACCCATTCGATTTTTGGAATTTTTTACTAGTATTGTAAGCGCTTCAGTAACCCCATATCAGTTTGGCCAAACTTTACGTAGTGCATTTTTTATTGAGCCTCTATCCATGAGGTTTGATATTTGTATATAGCATCTGTGATACATAGTTGTATGTGCTGTTTTTTCTTACTTCCCCTGTCCAAGATACTATGAGTTGATTTAACGCGTTACCTAATGCTAAATTGCAGGTTTATGCCTGATGATAATTTGACCCGTACGGCCCCACGCGCGTAATTCCATTAAAAACCGTCAAAGTGAAAGCTGACGTGAGTAAGGTCGGACGAGTTAACGAACGGTGAGTTTCTTGTTTTGACACGAAAGAAACAAAGGAAACTTTTTTCCTGTAGGATCTTTATTGTGATTGTTCATTGTGCGCTCTTGTAACGCGTCCTATTTAGGTTGAAACCAAGTTTTCGAAGTGGTCATATGATAAGATGCTTGTTAATCAATTTTCCGGTTTGGCTGGACGGGAAAATATTTGGCTCTCGGTCACGAGGCATGGAACGTGCTACATTCGGTCCGTACGTCACGACCTCGAGCCAGATAATTTCTGTTCTCCCGCCAACTCCGGTGCCGCTACCTTGAGTCGTCTTTACAGTAAATATGACCTATACAAGGATCTCAATGGGGTTCACCCTCAACCGTCAAATGGCCAAAATATTAACCATCAACGGTCAAAAACAATATTTTTGCCATCAACCGTCAAATAAGCAAGCCAATATTAGCAGTCAAATGTCTCAGATATCCCTAAATAAGAATCATACGATTGCCTTAATTGGGGTCAAGTTTTATTTTTTATGAATAAATGTTTTGATAATTACAAAAATGCATTTATGTAAGTCCTTTAACTTCTATTCGCAAGTAAAACTGGTCAGCGAGGGAGCTGATTTCCGGTTTGGAAACACTTCCGTTGTCGTAAAACATAGGTCAGTTATCAATAAAAGGTGTCATAATTAACAGTTCTTTACAAACGCGTCATCATGAAAATCTACAGCCAAATTCGCGCGCTTATTTCGTGTTATAAACGCCATTCTAAAAAATTAATCATCAACCGTCAAATACTTATATATTGTATACCAGTGGACATCACTCAGAGACAATGCCAAAGACCAAGGCTAACCTTGTACAACGAGATTGCTGCTTGATTTTGAACACCAGACAATTGACCTCGTCTACAACAAGTCAGCAAAGCCCGAAATGCGAGTTTGCTGTTGCAGAATTTTTATTTACGAACATCTGTAGCCCAACTAAAACAAAGAACCGATTTAGGGCGGCTGTACACTCGAAGATCATTTAAATAAGAAGGATATTGATGTTTGCGTCGCCTCCTAAACACAACTTGAGCTAGATAAACCTGAATCAATTGTCAACATACCGATCTACAAAGAACATATCTACATATTCAGACGGGACAGGAACTGGTCAAGAGTGGTTTTGAAGGAAAAAGGGGAAATTGCTGTTTATGTGTGAAGCCGTGAACCTAGATGTTGTTGATGTTTATAGATTAAAACTGCATAGTTTAATTTTTAGATATGATCTTTTATGAACACGCAGCAAGTTCTATTTTTGACATATATATATATATTTCAGCGCACCGCAAGTTTTTATTCTTTTTATCTCGGGATATTTATATTTTATTGGAGATTTATTAAAGATTGATGTGCCTCCGATGCATTTATCGAGCGAGTTATGGTGCACGCGGGAGGTCTGGAGAGCACAAGAGAGGAGATGCTCGAAACGCAGCCAGGAGTAACTGTAGCGTTCGGAGTTATCAAATGAATGCAACTACAAATAATATCGACCGTTCAAAAAACTAAGGGGAGATTTCCTAAATTAACGAGTCCCGTGTGGTAGATTTACCTCCTTGAATTGTTGGTTACAAGAATTGACTATCAGAAATTGCATCGCTTTGTGTTAAAAATCTTAAAAATTGTACGATTTCAAAGGAAAATCGTCTATTCAACAACACTTTTGGAACAGACATGCATCAGCTCTTCAAAGTCACATTTACCTCAACGTCGTGAAGCCTCAGTTGAAGTAAAAAAAAATTAAAAAGTTTTGTTTTCAGCCATATTCACGTATTGCATTTGGGAACTGAATAAAGTAGGTTCGACTCCAAAACTAATTCCGTTGCTTTGAAGAGCTACATGCTCCTTGTTTTTCGAAAGGATTGTCATTTTAACAGATTTTCTTTTCTAATAGAGCTCAAAAAGGTCTTTCTTATTTGGGATAGAACGGAAAAACAATCTTAAAAGTTTTGAAACCTCGCGTGTAAACTCGATCGGAACTTTTCGCCGACAGTGACGTCAGTCTGAACCATCTCTATCAACCATCCAGTTCTTTTTAGTAAATTATAAGCCAATTAGAGCCCACGTTATCATATGGTTATGAAATAACACTAATTGAACAGCTAAGACGTAAGGAAACATTACCCCATACTCTTACCTGAAGCACCATCATCAGCAGTATGTGCTCCATGTCTATTGCCCCGCCACCCCCCTTGTGACCATGACTTATATCCAGGATTCCCTGTTGTGTTTGTGCTGGCGTTACATCCTTCATGTCATGACCGAGCTCTATTTACCCCTCCTCCGCCTCCAGCTATTATCAAAGGTGTGTTGGCTCCTCTCACCACAAACGTTCCTCCACCACCTCCAGAAGAGTAATAGTGCGTGTTTATTCCTTCTTCTTGACCAACAAGTATCTGGATGGCTTCACCCTTGTTTAAGCGGAACGCTCCAATCATTCTTGCTCCTCTTCCTCGGTACTAAGTACTGTTAGTGCGTCTATCGTACATTCCTGAAGCTGCTATTGCTTTTATTCTGTAGTCACTAGTGTACGGCACAGTCCACTGTTGAACGCCGCTGGACAGCGTAACTTGTCCGTCATGATTCTGTCCTGTCTAGTGACTGCCCAGTGTTGTTGGACCAATTCTTCCACTGGTGTTGAGGTTTGTAAAAACGGCCTTGAAAGCTGAAAGGGAAGAGTTAAGTTATCTATATCGTTATAACCATAGCTGTTAGAGTCTTTTTTTCCGTTCATTGGAGGTATATTTGCATCTGCAAAAAGGACATGGAAAAGTTAAAATATTGTAGATTGATACTTAAAACTACTCACCATTAATGCAATTATTAAGTTATTTAATATTCAATTTCTTTTTCATTCGATCATTTATTCAATTCATTGTCTCTCAATGGACGTGTACCCACTCGTCACTAAATATTTTTTTCCCCGAAAGAATATCAAGCATCACATCTGATTGTAATTGAAATGTTCTGTGGGTCCCGTAAGTTCGTTGTGAAAACAGATCGCTTTTGAAATAGGCCGTCAACTAAAACTGTCCGTTTCTTTCGTCATTTCCAAAGGTTACGGAAGTCTTTATACTTCTTTAAACTTTCCCTTCTTAAGTTTGAATTATAGACGAATAACTGATGATGTCCAGCCATTCTGCGTGACAAAAGTCGAGAATTCAGAAAATCGTGAAATTTTGATTTAGCGTCCAGGGCGCTAGTATACTAGGGACCTTAAGAAACCACGACGGCGACGGCATCGAGGACGTGGAAAAACAAGAGATCTAATTGGCAGAACAATAGTTCAGCACGTGCGTTTTGAAACTTCGTACATTTCTTAACCGTCCTATTCAAAACAACAACGTGAAATCGCCAAAATTTGCGTCGTTTGCGAACCGAAACCGCGACGGAAAAATATTTTTATTTCTATTTGGAACTCAAAGGCTACTTTATACGTCATGCTGAGGTTGAGCTGTGGCGCTGTATGAGACAGTAAGCTCCTGCAGCCAATTTTTAATTTCTAACTGAGTAGAAATTAACTTTTTAATCGAAGTCTTCCTTGGCGTCGCCGCCGTGGTTCCTTAAAGTCCCTACTTTTGGTACATCAAGGGAGGGCACTTATTTTTGACTAGGAGATTTAATTCTTGGTTTTCACGTGACGTCATCAAATTTACAAATAAGAAATTATCAATCTATATGAGATTCAAGTTTAATAAGTTAATAGAACAGTTAAATTCTTATCTTTTTACAAATTTTCAGTTTGATCGAGTTTTTCTTCTTGTGATAAAGCAAGGGTGAATATCCAAGCTATTGCTTGACACGATATTAACATACGGGCACATAGGTTGAAGAAAAGAAAGGCAGATAGACGTACAGATAGAGAGAAAAAAAGATAGATAGATAGATAGATAGATCGATAGATCGATAGATATATAGATAGATAGATATATAGATAGATAGATAGTCTGATGAGTGCGTAAGCACGAAACTCTGAGTAACAGAAACCATGTGTCGTCTCGTTTGATCGCTACCTATTGTATTGAGCGCTGCACATGTGTATTGAGCACTATTCAACGGTATCGGCTACTTCCTCACATGAATAGATAGATAGATAGATCTGTTTAATCAACTCTTTTACAGGCAGAGATCGAGACTAATATCCAACCATCTTGACCGAACAAGTTTGGTTAATAAAGGATTTACTATATTGAAAAATATTTCGCTTTATTAATTAGTTCTTATTAACCGAGCGGGAGGTATGTATGGGAGAATCTTGACCGAGGTTGCCAGTACAGAGCGAACGCAGTGAGGTCTGTACCGGCGATGGAGGTCAAGATTCTCCCATACAGACCGACCTGGCTCGGTTAATAAGATGTTTATTTTATGGCTGTGTCTTATATGCCAATTTCTTTATATTCTTTGTAACTTTTTTTTTTCTAGACCGGTCTAGATGCCGGTATAGATGGGAAAATCTAGACCGCTTTCAATTTTGATTTCAGCCAATCAAATTCGTGAATTCGGTAGTTCGCAGTCCTCGTGAGACACAGCCATATAATAAGAGTCGAGAATAACTTTTTTCATTCAAGAGCTAGGAAAGAAAGCCAACTGTGTTTTTTGTACAACAAACTCACGAGAGTCGTTTCTATTATCTTTGTTTTCAATATCTTCTACCGCTTTTTGCCTTTCCGTCGCCGAAATTTCCCAAGAGTTACGAATGTAAGTCTTATTCTATGTTTTCATGTGCGGGATCAATGCGGACAATTTCGGCCCATGTTGCTTGCTCGGGTAGCCAATCAGAACACAGGATTTGCTTCCTTTTGCCAAAGGGCACTGCGTGCGATGTAATAAATAACCCTTAATAAATCATATTTCAACAGCATGCAAGAAAATCTCATTACATTCAAAAAGCTATAATAAATATGCCCTCAAGGGTTACCTCTTATGGGGAAAAACTTCATTGGCACAGAAAGGGGCGAGTCTGTCTGTCCTAACTCTGGGTCTCTCTACATGGAGGAAATCCCCTGCCCGACGATTGTAACCATGAGGAACTACTTCCGTCATGTAGAGAGACCCTGAAGGTTCAGTATTGGGAAGGTCCTTAAAAAACCTGATGCGGGCAAGATCCCTGCGCTTACTTAGGGTTGGGAGGGTAGTTAAAACAAATGATTCCTCATAACCATTGTCTGGAAAGATAATCTTCAATGCCCTCCTCTGAACGGCTTCAATAAGATCGGATAGATAGTCAGGCAGAGCTGCCCACCCATGCAGATGATGCATATTTATCAAGAGATCTGATTAATGAACAATGTATCTACACTAGGTCAGTATGATGGGGCTCTGACTTCTTAAATAATCTTGAGGCATGCGCCCTCTTATTAGCCCTTCAAACAATATACTCAACATGCTGATTCCACGTTAGCTCGTTAGATATATATGTCCCTTGGAGCTTGAGACTTTTTCTATAGATAGATAGATAGGTAGACGTTTATTAAAAAGAATACATTAATAGCAGCTGGAGGCTGAATTGCAAAGGTGTACAAATTATGTAATAGAACTATACAATAAAATCAAACCTGAAAGGGAACTAATTTACATATACAATTGTAATCAATGTTAGTTAAAATGTCTTGCGCTTGCTGGAATGAAAGTATCTCTGAACCGATTTGTTTTAAAGGAAACTCTAAATGGTCTGCGTCGTCGTAACTCCATAAGTTGATCTCGGTTATCGAAAGGCAGTAAGTGGTACAAACAATCCAAGGGATTGGAGACGATGTTGTTAAAGAATTTTAAGCAAAGGTCTTCTCTCCGATCCCTTAGGGTTTTCAGCTCTGCCATCTGAAGCACTTCTCTATAATGATTATCATAACCGTATATAATTTTCAAGGCTCTCTTTTGGACACGCTCTAAACTTAAGCTCAAATAATTGGGGAGACTATAATGGTAGACCTGACATCCATAAAGTAAGACAGATTGAATACAAGCAACATAAAAATTAACTAATTCAGGTGATGGTACCTTAGCTCGCTTTAACTGAGTTAAAAAGTAAAGGCGCTTAGCGGCCTTTTTAATCGTCTCAGTAACGTGAGTGTTCCACTTGAGGTTGTCTTGAAAATACACACCCAGTAATTTTACGACACTAACGGCACTAACCTTAGAGCCATTAATTTCTATCAGATCGTAGGAAGGAGGGGAGCGCACAAAGGAAACTCTTAGCTCATTACATTTTTTCGGATGGAGTTGAAATGAATTGAGTGTTGACCAGGTAGCTACTTCGTTTATCATAGACTGAGCATTGCTAGGACCACCCTTGCTTATGATTTCATACACTGTCGTGTCATCTACATATTTTATACAATCACTGGCTGATGGTACTTTCAAATCGTTTATCATAACCAAGAATAGCCACGGTCCCAATTTTGTTCCCTGCGGTACTCCTGCTCGGACCGATCCCCACTCTGAGAGACAATCATGTGCAAGTTTGACCCTTTGTTTCCTATCTTTAAGAAAGGCTATTATCCAATTAATGATGTAAGGGTTAATGTTGTAGGTCGAGAGTTTCGATAACAAGAGGCTGTGGTCTATCAGATCGAAGGCTTTTCTATAGTCCAACGCAAAGATTCGCACGGTGTTCCCCGTTCCGTCTGTTGCTTGCGCCCAATTGTGCATCAGATTTATTAATGCGTGCGCAGTGGAGGATCCTGGAATACACCCAAATTGATCGGGTTCCAGGCGTTTTAGAAGTGCTGGTTTCACATGTTCATGGACGACGTAGTGTTCGGCAATTTTGGACAACGTTGGCGTCAATGAAATAGGTCTCAAATCCTTCGCCGCATCCTCAACTATCTTTGTTTTGGGAAGAGGGGTGATGTTTGCACATTTCCAAATGTCCGGTAAAGTGCCTTGACTAATAGAGGAATTGATGATACAACGAAGGGGTTGAGCGAGCTCAGGAGCGAAGTCAC